GTTCATGAGCAACCTTGGACCGGACTATCGTTATTCCGAGAACAACAACCAAACATTTTTCTCCGTATTCGCGATCTTCTTCCCATCTGTAACCGGAATCCAAGCCGGTGCCAACATTTCCGGTGACTTGAAAGATCCGGCCAGCAGCATACCCATTGGAACCTTGTTGGCTCTTCTCATTTCTATGCTGAGTTACGTCACTTTCGTATTCTTCGCTGGTGGTGCTGCTTTAAGGGATGCCAGTGGTTTCGTCACTGCGAATAACACGATAGGCAGCTGCACCCCGAATGTGGATTGCAATTACGGATTGCACAACAGTTATACGGTGAGATAGAAATGTGAAAAATATTTCAATCTCATACCTCGAAAAAACACGTCAAATGTTATAATAAAAATTCATATTAATATAAATAAAAATAATTATGAATTAATTTCAAGGTAATGCAATTGATGTCAGTCTGGGGTCCATTCATTTATGCCGGTTGCTTTGCGGCAACTTTGTCGACCGCGTTAACTAATTTACTGTCAGTGCCGAGATTAATTCAAGCGCTAGGGCAAGACCGGATCTATCCTGGTTTAATCTACTTCAGCAAAGGCTATGGAAAGCATGGTGAACCTTACCGTGGCTACGTTCTAACGTTCTTCGTCGCTGCTCTATTCCTTTTGATAGGTAAGATCTAATTTAGAATCGAAATATATATATAATTAACATTACCTTCGATTCCACAGCGAATTTAAACGCGGTTGCCCCATTTATTTCGAATTTCTACCTGGCTTCGTACGCGTTGATCAATTTTTGCACCTTCCACGCGGCGCTCGTTCGACCCCTTGGATGGAGACCCACTTTTAGAGTGAGTTTTAAATAAATATAATTGCAGTACATATGAAATAAATATTCTTTTATATAATAAAAATTATCTTACGTAATAAAATAACTTCGGTATGTACAAAAGTAATTTTTTCTTTTTACAGTATTACAACACTTGGTTGTCATTATTTGGGTTCATTACGTGCGTTGCCATAATGTTTCTCATTGACTGGGTAACGTCGTTAGTAACATTCGTAATTATTTTCGCGTTGTACTTAATAGTGGTTTATCGAAAACCGGATGTCAATTGGGGTAGCAGCACCCAAGCTCAAACTTATAAAACCGCACTATCTATCGTTTATCGGTAAGAGATTCTATTTAAGACGACTCAATCGTGATTAATTATTATTATTTATAATA